GGGGGGGGGGGAGGAGAGGGGACTTTATGTGATCCATATGTGGTGATTTCTGGATTATCAGTATATTTCTCCCAGTTTTCCCGCTGCATAACAATAAAATGCCCGTTTAACTCTTGTGGTGCTACACAGTCCTCCACCGGCAGCGCATGGCGCGATGGACACTTATACCCACAGTTTCAGAAATTTGGAAATTTCAAATCCATGCTTCAAACTAATTTTTTGCTAACAGTTTCCAGGTTTTCTGGTCATTTTTTGGTCAACCTAAAAGTTCGCACGTATTTACTTTATTTTGTTTGTACGGTTAGAACCTGTTGGTTTACGAGATGAGAAACAGGCTGTTCTGAAAAGCTTTCAGAAACAGGTAAACAGGTATAAATTTTTGAAGAAGTTATTTAGAATATTTTTGGTCAAAGTTTTTTCGGCTGTAGTTTTTGTTAATCCGAAAGTGGTTGAGCTGTAAGTACAGCCATTACGTCTCGCATCATCAAAGCTGTATTACGAAATGCCATAAAAGTCAAAACGAAACTTTAACACTAGGTTGTTAAAAAGTTAGAGAAGTACATAGACAATGCTGAAATTACTACAGATGAATTCATAGGAGCCAACGACCTCATGGCTGGTTAACGGTAAAGAAGCGTTTTTGCGAATGGGCACGCTTAACTGAGGAGACATCCAGACTGCGTCAATGATATGAAATGGAAAGAACTTGTTTTATCAGAATGTGTGCTAGGTTCTCGAATTCTTATAACAAATCATTTTTTAGAAATTACTCTGTTTAGCGCTACTGTTTTGGATGTGTTTCAAACAGTCACGTACTTATTATTTTTTCCCATTTCAAGAGAATTTTAGCATATTCGAATTGTTTGAGTTTTCTTTATGGGCATTGCGTTGTGGTTTTTTTGGAAGTATGTTTAGTAAGTGGTATTTAGATTTTCATAATTATAGTCATTTCGGGCGCCATTCTTTTTTAAGTTTTGCTTCTTCTGGTTTTACTACGCAGAGTGATTAAGAGTAACACTGTATTGTATTTTTCATTGGTGCCAAACGTTCCTTTTGTCTGTTACTTAGTCATTTGCGTATCTCAGTGGCTCGAATTTGGAAGTAAAGTTGCGATGGAGGTGTTTGCCGTTCTTGAGGTATTAATTTATCTTCCTACTCATTTAAGGGTATTGAATCTAAAAGATGGCTGGAAACATTCATCTTCAATATTTTAATGGTTCAATTAGACCTAATAAACCGCAGGAGGCTATTTTGAAAGACATGGTAAGTGTTGAGTTTATAGCTTTGTTGCTTATTTCTAATTCTCTTTTTTTTGTAATCAAAGAGTATCTTATTTTTGCAGCCTGATTTTAAAATTGGTTAGATAGCTTTGAAATACTAGCATTTTTCGGGTCATATAGTTCGTTATTGATTACCTTATTGTTCAGCGCTGACTGCTGTTTCCTTCTAATTTGTTGCGTTGGTTATGGAGTTTTCAAATCGGTCAGAGTGAAATACGTGTAGATAAATTACTGGTGTTGTAGCTGCGCTTTAACGACTGTAAAACTGTTTTTATTGAGCAAATTTAAGATAAAACGGAGGGGTGACTAAATGTTCTGTCCAGTCAACATATGGCTTTAACAAGAAATCATAGGAAAAACGTCTTCGGATAGGAAAATTTTTTGCACAGAGTTGCAACAATGTTTTGAGTTTTTATTTTCTTGTTAGATTTTTGTCCCAGTAGGATTTGTACAAAATTAATGTAACGTTAAGAATCGATGGCTGTTTTTTTCAATTGTTTACTTCATTTAGGCTCAAAAGGATGATTTTATGAAAAGAATAGCAAGTGAACGGGCAGAGCGTCATCTTCTATCCAAGTAAACGGCCTTAACCACATATCAACTAACTCATTCTTCTTTTTTGAAATAGTTGAATTAATGCTGTTGGAATAATTGGGAATTTTTATATCTTTTTGCTTTGTAGAAAAACCGCCGCAGCGGTAAAGATTCAGGCTGCATTTCGGTCTTATAATGTACGCAAGCAACTTTTTACTCGCCTTCGTGCTGACTTCGATGCGGTTGGAAAAGTAGAAAATGTTGAACTCTTGGACGCTCAAATCGGAAAACTGTGTTTCTTTTTCAACCGGCAACGAGATGTTAAAAGAACGGTTGTTTTATATGGTTTTATTTAGTTCTAAACTATTTTTCTTTCTGAAGGTTCTTCTGCGGTATAATACTTGTAATAATTTTTGTTCATCAAGAAAACTGGAAAAAATACGTAGCATTTTTGGTTTTTTCTTTTGTCTTGTGAAGTAATTAGACTCTTGCAATGGAAAAAATAATGTATTTTATTGCACACAATTTAGGATTTGAAATATGATCTTTTTGGGTGGGTAACTTTGTTTTTATGCTTTCAGATTTCTCTATGTAGTGATGCTTTGCCTTTGTTTCGGCAGGCGAACGGTGCTCTGAGATCTTTGCGTTGTCATGAACTTTTGATTCGTGCCTTGTATGCTTTACACGAAATCAACCGAGATTTGCCTTATACACCGCTTCTACGATTTATTGAAGTTTCTTTAACCGAAACGGATTGCATTTCAAAAGGATTCTGTACAATTTATTATGAGGCAATTCTGTCCTTATTTATTAATAATTTTGGTCTTCCAGAACGTAAGTTTTTTTCGTAACATATAATCTTTCCATCTTTCGCAACTCTTTTTTTAAGAATTTAGGTTAATTCTTTTTAGCTATTTTATTTTTTGTAAGATATCTTCTTTGAGCAACTTCAAGCACTTGCAGCTTTGCTCTTCGATGTAATTTGGTACATAATACTGTCCAAAATCTCGCTTCTTTGCTCTAAGACGCAGCTATTATAGCTTAGTTTTTTCTAGGAATTGGTGGATTTTATTATTATTTCAATTATATTTTCAGCGTGACCTCTTTTTAAAAATGAGGACTATTGAATGTTTTGCTTGCGCAAAACTTTAGTTTCTAGTAAATCTGAGATACAATTGTTTTTTAATAACTTCAAGTGATTGTTAAGGTAATGGTTAAAAGCAACTTGCAGATTTGAAATTTTTCAAATTGATTAGGAATATGGAGAGGTGTTTTCAAAGAGAAATTTGTTTCTAACAAGTAGGAGAAGCTTTCCGAATCTTCTGCTTTTATGTTCTTTTGATGAGGTTAATTTTCCAAGATTTATTTTGTAATTGTTCAGTTAAATGTGACGCAGTATTAGTCACCATGAATAGTCCTTGTCTGAGCTAAAAAACTTCATTAACATTCAAGTAAAAAAATTTTGCTTTTCCTTTGGATATATTTATTAAAGTAAGAAACGTAAGTAACAGCTATTTGCACATCTTAAATAGTTTTTGCCATCCACTTTCTATTAGTTTTGAGCGGAAGGGGAAACCGTAAAACAGTGATTTTTGAGCGTAACATTGATTTTAGCGCTCGAAGTAAAGGAATGCTTATTGCCTCGCGCAGATTCAGTTTTACATTTTCTTCTTCTGCCAGTCAAAATAACTCAATCTTATAATGCAAGGTAACATATCGTTGTTATTCATTTTGAATTTTGAATTTACTTTTTTACTATAGTTAATATATATTAAAATGAGTACTGATTTGTTAACGCTAAAATTTTTAATTTGAACAAAATCAATTGGTGCAAGCTTTAAATATTTTTTAGGCTCTCTCTTTTCCACCACCTCCTTCTGTCACTTGTTATGACCAGATCAGAGATGCATATAGTTTGTTTTGTAATACCATTTCTTGGTAAAAGTGTAAGGGGTGATTTGGATTTTTCACTGGTTATTAACTCCTTCTTACCAGAGGAGGATTATGACACTTTAGCGACGTCACAAATCAATCTTTTGGCTTATACTTTATCAGTTGTGGCAAGTTCAGGGAAAGTAGGTAAGCATATTTTTTATTTTATAGTTTTGTAGCAAGTAATTCTCAGAAGCACAGTTTTTTAGCATAGTGGTTTTTACTTCAAACTTTACCGTTAGCAGTCTTTTAATATCGTCCTTTAATATATTTGTTACCGCTGTTTCAGAATCGCTGGAAAAAACTAACCAAAAATTACTTTTGTTTGCTTTCGCTTACTTTACCAGGCGTATTTCTTATAGTGAGAACGAGTCTTCCAGTTTAAAAGATATGGAAGTTGATTCAGACCCAGATGATGAAGAATTTGTCAGGGTAAAAAATGTTCCCCAACCAACTACTCATTGTGTCGGTGTAAGTTCTTTTTATGTTGCCTTTTTGGTAAAGATCGGCTTCATAAAGTTTCTACATTTTTATTTAGACTTACGATTTCTTTATGCACCGCATATCGACAGCTTTGTCATCGAGAGAACTACGGACTTCTTTTGTTGAATCAGCAATGAATTCCGACGAAAGCTGTTCCCGTTTGGCTTTAATCGTGGATTTCTTGCGCAAACATGATTCGGTGTCTTGTGCTATGTTTCTTAACGCCTTATTAGTTCATCGGAACTTCGTGGCTCGATTGTGGAATAACATAACCTCTTTGAAGAGCAAATCTCTGTTTAGCTCATCTCAGACACTTTTGAGTATCCTTGAGAAAGTAAGCTCTAGTTCTTTTTCAAAATAGCGGACATAGTGTACAGTAGTTTTCTTACTATTTTTGAAATATTTACATTTTTTTGTAAATATAGAAAATCTGCCTCGAAATGAGATTCAAAAAGTGCTGAATCTTGTTTTTTTTTTCTCGAAAGTTGGGTTTTTCTATAGAGTTTTCTTGTGTGCATAAATTAGTTATAACTGAGAATGTATTTTAGTAACTTAAGGAAGAAAAAGTAGACAAATTTATATCATATTTTGAGATCATATTTTGATTTGGTCGCCCTATTTCGGCACCTGACCAGGTAGGCAGCCGGCAAAATAGTTCAGATACTTGCAAAATCGGCTTGATGCAAACTGAATTAAATTGGAAACCTGGTTTTTACAGGCGCATGTAGATAAAAAGTTTGCCTTTTGAAAAAATTTTGTTAATTTGATCTCTAAATTTCTTTCCTGAGTTGCGAAGGTATTTTTTAACGACTTTTTGTAAGGTTAGAAGATTCGGCGTTCTTTCTAATTTCCATTTAAAATCACAAATTTGCACGATTTTTGTAGTTTATGAAGAAGGATTTAATTTTTAAAAAAGCAGCAGGTAAATGTTGCACATCAGTGTATGATCATTTTATTCTTTAAAAAGCAAGACGTTTTTCAAGTTTCTTTATTTAGTAATTTTGCTACTGACTTAAGTTCTACCAGTTAGCTTCCATGTGTGTATCTTAACATGTGTTCATAAAGTTGCATATGTGTGAAACAGCCTCTTTTAGGGCAAATGTATATCTGAATCTGATGAAGCCCTGTTGATACCGATGCTATCTTTGTTTGTAAATCTTTTTGCTAATGTGATGACCACCACTGACGACGACGACTTCATGCATGGTAGCCCACAGGGTTCCTTGTTCCCGCTAACTGTAGAGGAAAGTACTCGTATGGCTAAACAATTCAGGTATCTTTTAGTTTCTAATAAACACATATTTTAAGAGGACGGTATTCTCTTCAATAAGTTTTTTGCTGTTAGTTTTTGATTAGAAAAGTAGTTATCTTTTTTGCATTGAGATTGCCCAAGAAGTTCTTTGTGCTTCCATATTTTTTCCTTTTGAAGATAGCATTCTTTCTATTTTTCGTTTTTATCTGTCTCAGACTACGTAATTAGCCGTACCTTCCATTCTAAAAATGGGTATTCAGAAACTTGACCCTTGGGCTGATCGACATGGCTTTCCCGATCACTTCAAGCCGTATGTCTGCAACTCGTGTACAACCATCTTTGAAGAACTTAAAATGGGCTGATGTATTCAAGGTATTCTTATCTATACAGTGGT